CTTATTGCAGTTTGCTCACAACGCGACCTCACGTTGACTGTGAGCCCAATAAAGCAAGACTTTTGCAGCCGATCAGTAACAAAATTGCATAGTGTACATAGAAAAATTTTTTGTGCATGAACCGGGAAAGAAAACCAAACATTGCGTGACTTAGCCCGTTGAAGATCATCTTTCGTAGGACGGATAGCGTGACGCATCCGATCCAAAAGAAGCTTCTAATAAAACAGATTGATTAGATTCGAATGTCGTGTGGGCCGTGTGTGTGTATCTGTCGCAGATCTCATATTTATTTTTATTAGACAGGAAATGACCTTAATTGACGCAGAATTACCTCGGCGTGACCGGTCCAACGTTAGATCACTTCGTCACAAAATCACCTGAAATGGCATGACCGTGCCCCCTTCAGGTCTATTATGTCACAGAATCACAGTAAGTGCATTGTGTGACTGAGCACGTGTTCATAAATATGCGTGAACTGACAGATATACATTAAGAACTAACCCACGCTGAATCAACATAACCTAAAATGGCTTGATCTAAAGAATGTTTAGCCCAATATTATTTCGTTGCCGGATCGATGTGATTGGCGTGACTTGCTCTTTGTCTAACAGGATCCATTCAGGTTATGTGACCTTGCAGCACTGAAATTAGCTGAGATGTTTAGGTCCAGGTAGCAAACGTTGACAATATTTCTTGACTGGATCGTCTGAAATAATTCAAAGAGTCCATCAAATTCGGACCAACAAGTAATTAAATCGCACACTGACTGCAACGTTGGGTGACTTGACCAAGTTACTTTAACAAAAACGTCCCGTAACAAAACCAAATGCTTCGGCTGAATTGACAAAAAATAGGGCGATGTACGTCCGAATAACGGAATGTTTTTTTGAGAAATTTGTTTGTTTCATATCTAGAGAACAATTGCGTCGCTAAAATTAAATCAGACGTGCTTGACTTGTTGATTCGATAGCGTGACTTGTTGATATGATAGCGTGACCTGTTATTACTATAGCGTGACTTGTTGATACGATAGCGTGACCTAGGGATTCACATGCGTGACGTGAATAAAAATAGCGTAACGTCGCCATTTGGGTTGAAAACTTAAGGAAAGATTTATTTTTAAAAACGAAATCAATCGAAAGTGTGACCAAGTAAATAGAATTGAATCCGTGGCCTTAAGATATTCAACATAAATCACCACATCAGGGACTCCATCGCTAAGTCACGGACTTCTTTGGCATCTTACCTCATGATAGAGGTGGTTAGTTTAGCGATAAACACACAAATCGATCAATTCAGAGAGACAGTAACAAAACTAAGGCTATGTAATACCCCGTAAAGAAAACAAATTCCAATGATTTGTTGGAAGAGAACCCTATGGATTGCTGAGGAGGAAAATTTCAATTTGCAGTTGAATTTGAATTTAATAATGTTGAGCTGCACTTCAGTGTCGCTCACCAGCTGGGTATTTTTACTGTGCCCTTTTGTGCTCCTCTTCAAACGTTCATTAGTATCTATGAGACATTTCGAACCGTTTACTTTTCCGATGATGAAAATTGTTCTAAGTTGAAATTTGTGGTGCAGAGTATTTAGTCCTTGGCGCTCAGCTAACTCAGCCAAGTGGTAAATTAATAAGTTTGCATACTGTTTGCAAGAAGAGTCACGAGGTTTTAGAACTGGATAAAAGAAATGCATGACAAGTTGTAAAGAGAGATAAACTCAATCACAATTCTCCATATCAGATAGCAAGCAAGGATGATGTGTAAGGTCCCGTCAGTACACTACATACGATCCACGCACAGTTCTGGCCTAGATTTTCATAGATGACTAGTTTCATATCGGTTTCAAGCACAGTCTGTCAAAACAGCTGATTGAAACACAGTTTATAGTATAGTAGAGTTGGGTAGTGCCGTACTTGTATAGTATTTACCCCATAATTGACTTACATTACTCATATGGTTAACTAAGTTGATTGATTTCTAATAACAAAAAGGAGATCGTTGTACTTACTCGTATTTATAGAGTATTGAAGTTCCGTGTAGCTTGTTCCTGTGAATATTGGTCGAGCGTTTTAGCATGTGTCAAAGTGCTTACTCAACAGGTTCTTAAAGAGATCCACTTTCATAGAACAATCTAGCTGCACACTTTGCAAAGAAGTGCTGGATTCTTTCCTAGCTTCTTGTCAAATATTCCGAAAAAAAATTGAACTGACTTATGAGAATACAAATGAAGATTAAAATACTTTTCTGTCTGCGATCTAAGATAACTCGCATCTCAAAAGCAATATTCTCCTTACCGTCGCACAAAGTATGAATGGTTTGCCACTAAAGGAATTTTTTCATGATTAGACGATAATCGCTTATTTCGCCATCAAGAAAAAAAATTCAGCTCTTCTTATTTTAATAATTCGGTGAGGTACAGTTAAAAATTTCTAAAAGGAATTTCGTATTTTACAACTTACCATGCAGATGTCTCGACAGAGTTACTGAGTGAGAAAATTAGTGACTAAAAATATCTTAATTTCGTGATTCGATGGCGTGTCGTCTGCCACAATTGTGGCCGAACGTGATTAGGCTTAAAACATTTCACGAGATTGATAGCCCTAATTGATCATATGATAGATTACATTTAAAATTTCGAATTCAATTAAGCAGAGGTCTCGCGACCCGCCATCAAGCATCAAACTAATTTTTAATCACATACGAAAACCAACATGTTAAGGGAACAACTAAACTGATTAATTTAAAACTATTTTGATTGCCGAAGATCTATAAAAGATTTGATGGTGAACGCGCCAATCTAAATAGTGTAACAAAACTTCAGATTAATTTCAACATGGTGTTCAATATTGCGCCAATCACTTTAGCATCGATGAAGTTTGGAAAGCAGCAGCCTTAATAAATTTGAAATATGTTAGGTCTCATCTGAAGAAAACCTCGTGATTTGCAAGTAATTGTATAAGGCCTGCATGCCGACCAGATTTTTTGATAACGTGAGTACGCAAGGGGTCTTAACAAACTGGCAGATCGTTTAAAACACTCCATTCAAACGCACTCAAGTGCAATATTTCAATGTCGTCTTTTATCTCGATTTTCCAAACGTATCTCATTTAGTTAACGAATGGCAAGATTTTCTATGGAGCTCCCGCAGTTAAGAGATCATAGCAGTCCGCCATTCAAATTGCCAGGTCAACTTACACCCAAGCATAGCTAGACATGGCCCCATCTGCACGAATCGTTCCACGATCTTTGCAGAAAGAATTTAAGACGGAGAAGTAAAGAATTCGACTCCAAAAACAAACTCATCCATGTTTACTCGACTGGTTATGTTTCTGCGTTGATCTGTTATTGTTTAACCTTTTCGCGTAAATCCCTGCTGTCTGAGGGACCAAATGTTTACTGATCTGACCCGCGGTGCAACCGATTTCAGTCCAGTCTCCAACTTCAACAGCGATATATCCGAATAATCCAGTGTCGGCCTTTAGGAGTCACTCAACAAAGCATGTTAGGTAAAGGGACATATTAATATAAGAAACGCCTCTTATTAACCCACATGCCAAAATGAGCTATTTGTCCGTGAAATCAGCTTTAGACAAAATCAGAGACAAAATATTGTTCTATAATCAACCCGCTTTTCGCCTGAGGCGAAATCAAAATTCTTGAATAAGAAAATCGCAATGCGGCGGTCTTTACACTTTACAGACCGCTCGGGTCTCAAATTTTATTTAAAAAATCTCTACAAACATGCCAAAACATCATGTCTCGAACGGATGCTAGAGAGAATTGTCTGAATCTCTCTTGGGGGTCGCACAATAAAATTCGTGACAACACACTGGATTCGTGATTTCGATACTAAAATCTGAGCGGTGATTTAAACAAGCACGATATACCAAGTAAATCGGTTCAGCATTCATTTTCGTGACGCAGGATTTTCGAACTGTCGTGTTGACACACTTTTTCGAGTTCGTTCACAGGCCTCGAAATCTGTTACTTTGGTAATATAAGTCAAACTTAGACAGGACTAGACACATATGATCACCCACTACTTTATCGCAATGTGTTCAGAGTGGCTGTATAATGTTAAGGCATATCGGCTTGCGTGTCGCTTACGTCCCTCTAGTGTGTTTTCTGTTCTTAATTACCGGCTCTAGCAGATTCATATCTTCAAAAAATAGCTTTGATGTTAACTCTGGCAGGTATGTTTTTTTTTGTTGAGATTCGGTGTCAACTTCACGACTCGCAACGATAATTTTTTATGTCAAACACCGGTCATCGAAGCTTCCGGTTCGCTGCCCTTTTGATAAAAAAAAGAGAGAAAATTTCAAACCGCTTCACAATGGTGATGAGTTGCAGTCATTTGAAAAAAAACCTGACACCAATTTTTAACTCGACTCGTTAAAAGCAGTATGTTTGTTATTATTCCTTGTTGCGCTCTAATAATTTGCAAATAAAACGAGCGGCTATCTCTTTTGGAAAGTCACTCACAAGATTGACGATTAGACACTGTGTGATATCCGGTTGTGACGCCCATAACCTTTCGCCTCCATATCCGCTTTACGATATTTATTTTATATCAGCGTGGAATTAAAATGGTGAAATGCACTGCTCAAACCTTTGATTTAAAACGTTATTAGGGCATTGTTCTCCATTGAAAAACTTGTCACGGAGAATGCGCATTGAATGTTATGTGAATGCAAATTGGGGCACGTACATGATCAATGTTATGTGACAAATGCGGTTTTCTGCAGATCCATCTGGTTGCCAACTTATACTATTTCGTGGGTATTTCCGATCGATTTGAAGCTCGAAGTTTTAGCTTCATTCCCCCTAACTGCCGGTTAATGTTTGTTTGATCCTTGGGCGAAGTGAAACTGCTTTACAAATTCTTAAACACACATTTGCTTTGTAGGTTCATTGGCGAAGTGGAACGCATCCAAGTGTGACTGCTAAGTCGAAAGGGAAACCACAATAAAACAGATGCAGCACACCAACAAACCAAAGTTTCACCTTCAAAAAACTACTTTATTCTGCCAATAATAGATCTAACAAAAACGCGAGTTCTGCCTAAGGCAGACTTTAATGAACATAGATAATTCTACGGTTATTGCTTCAAGACGTTTACAAAAGCTATCATCCCTGTCGATCTAGTATTTACATGTGGATTGAATAGCAAATCAAGTTTCCTTTGGCAACCACTCGAGTGTAAGGGAATACGACAAATTAAAATCTAGGAAGCTTTGCTATAGCGGAGAACACTTGCGTCTGGCATTCTTTTTTCCTCGCTTGTCAGCTAATGTCTCGAATAAAACAGTAAAGCAATAAAAAATTTTTTAGCTTTCAGACGCAAAAACGATAACACTGTACAAAAGTTTATAAAGAGGAAAGCGAATTCGTTGAAATAAGATAAAATAAAATAAAATTGCCTTTAAGCGCACGAATTGCTTGGTTATTTTCAAAAGAAATATGTTCATTTTTCTAAAACCGTGTAATACCCGCGCGCGGTAGGGTGTAGAAAAAACCTTGATGCTTCTAAAATCAGAAGACATGCAATGAAATTCATTTTAAATTAAAATGCTCGCTCCACAGGAGCTATAAATTCGTAATGTTCGTGATCCTTCAAAACCTTCATTTCCAAACAAGCGTGTGCATACGGGAAGGAGATGACTGCGGGTTCTGCGCTGCAGAGGTTGTCGAAGCAGGAATAACAATTGAAGGGACATCGGAAATTGTGAACGGTCGAGAACTGTTTCCACTTACTTCGGTGTCGCCGAACGAGAATTGGAACGCGCCATTGTCAGGTTGGTTCCTCTGCTGCAGAGCCGAGGGAGCGACTTGATTCGGCGGGTACGAGGAAGGAAGCTTCTGCAATTGCTCCATAAATTCTGTGTAGCTGGACGAGACAGAATTGTTATTTGTCACGAACTTGGACGCTCCGTGCGTTTGAGTGAAGCCGTGAGAAGTGAAGGTTACCGATGAAGCTGAGGAAGGAGGGTTTGAGAGCAGTGGCTGAGTGTATGAGTGCAGGTATTGATCGAATTCTGTAGTGTCCACCATTAGATCTGTGGTTAGGTCACCCATTTCAACGTGAAAATCAAGCGCGTTATTGCTGTTGCTGTCACTGCTTCCGTTCGGCTCTGTTTTCTTCGGGCACGCGGCAAAGCTGGAAGAAGGACCGTGGATTTCATGGTCCGCCACGCTTGCCTCAGAGAATTTCAATCCACCTTCCAACTTGACAGTGGCAGTCGGCGTGGTTGGCGGTGAAGTGGCTGAACTACTGGAACCTGGACTACTGGCTTCTTCACCGCTTAAACTACTTTCTGGACTCGCGCAGTTGCCGTCTTGGCTGCATCCTGATTTGGGCATCAGTTGGGTATCACCTTTTAAGACTTTCAACAGATCATCAGCTGAGATTGTTGCCTCCGGTTGATCAGGACCTCCGTTGCCTTTTTGCTTCTTTCTTCGCGGCTGATATTTATAATCGGGATGCTCTCTCTTATGTTTCAGCCTGAGTCTCTCGGCCTCTTCGATAAACGGTTTCTTCTCAGCATCGTTGAGCAGTTTCCAAAGTTTCCCTAGCGTTTTGCTCAGTTCAGCGTTGTGTAGATGGGGATACTGATCAGCTAATTTTCTTCTAGCTGCTTGCGCCCAGACCATAAAAGCGTTCATGGGTCTCTTCACGTGCGGTTTATGTTTATGTCCACCGTTTACTCTCACAGGTAGTGGAATTAAAGACCAGTCGTAACCATCTAGGACATGATTTACCGCAGTGGCTATTGCGCTGCTCAAGTCCATATTCTTCGGCTGAACAAGATCTGAGTCGCTCTTTTTGGTTTCGCCGTTCGTCTGTTCTGTCATGTTTATCGGCTAGAGTACTACAACAAGGCAACTTTCTTATTTTTGAACTCTCACAATAACGAGACTGAATTTCTCCAGACGAAAAATCGAACTTCGTGCCAATTCGAATATTGGCGTATAGTTATTCAAAACACAGATATAATAATATCACGACCAATGAACCGAGACGGTGTATTATGTTACCGCGCAGTCTGATTGGACACTGGGCAAACCGCAGCCAATCAAATGACTTGTTTTGAGGACCTTAACACCCGCTGGACTTAGGTGGGTTGAAACCACTTACGAAAGCGTTGTAATTGGTCAGCTGTCACGAGCCACGTGGGCGGAGAAAGTGTTACTCTAATAGCCACGGCAACCTAGTTTTATTTTGGGCTTTGTTGTAGTGTGAGAGAATTTCGAGTAAAACTTTCTTTTGTCCTACGCGCAGGATGCGTGGGCTTTTCATACTGTTTATACTCGTCTGCGATAATTAATAGCCTTATTGCCGTCCGTGTGTCTTCCATGTATCGATGACAGAACTGTTGCGAAAATTTTCATTCTTGAATCAAACTGGAGATCGGCTGACGCGACGCAGCGGTGGGGTGACTTCAATATGACATCTCTTACAGTATCGAATTAAGCCAGAGTTAGAGTGGGCCTTTCTACAATTACAGTTGCAGCACAGTGCCCAAGCCTTGAGCGCGAAAAACTCAACAACGGACAAAAATTAAAGAAAAATCTTAACGGCGCAAAAATTCTGCGTAGGTAAAGGATCTGCGTGCGGGAAGCGGTGAGATATACTGCAGGAAAATAACAGGAAAGGGCGACAGAAAGCTAGGTGGAACAAATGTCGTAAGCGCCCGCGTGAATTAACCTTATTGAAATACCTATTCACGAGCAAATAAGTGAGCACTCGCGTTTGATATTAAGCTTACGTTACGTACGCCTGTTGTATGTACAAATCAGTGCAGTTTCGGCGGATTGTGAGATTTACAGAGGCGAGAGGGCAAATAAATTTGACAAGTCGCAACTTGACACTCTTCTTTCAACGCTATTAACGTCTGCATGTGTTTTTGAAAATAAACCAGTTCGGGTCACGGAGAAGTTGAGGCCTGAGAAAGTGCTCAAACACAAGGTGACGTGTTAAATCGCAAACTTTTACAATCCTGATGTCAGGACGGTTATTTATCCTACATGTAAAGTTCTTTAATACCACGTTTCGCCACCATTGGGCAATATCTCCCACTCGGAATAAACGCAGATGGTTTTGGAGGTCAGACCCCGACTAGACGGGAAACTGTTTCTACCCGAAATAACCCAGAGCCCATCAAACGACTGCTTGACTGCTGTATCTCTATGTCACAGCGGCGCAATCAAGATATGTGAAGAGCGCACTATACGACTTCAATCACGATAAAAAGAAGGCGATAGGATTACATGCTGATTGCATGGAAGATACGTCGTTTTAAATCACGAAAAAAAAAGCAAGTCGATATCGTGGAGGCAGCGAAAACGGCTAGTTACTCAAAAATATTGGTGCAGTTCTGGCCTCGCGATTTTTTTTTTATTTTTGTAAATAAGCTGCAGGCGGATTTGTTGCCGCTAATGACAACACTTCCGATATTCAATACCATATACTTGTGGTCTGGTACGCATTTAAGCGTCATACCATGCGCTGGGGCTAAATTGCGGTCTCTGGCAAAAACATTTCTGCTTTCAACTGTAATCTTGTCGCTTCTGAAGGCGGATAAACATCATGCTCAGCTAAATAAATATTTGACCACTGAAGGTGCTCTAGTTCAGCCCGCATCTCATGTAACTATGATTTTTGAAAATGAAACAAGTCAACGTGACCAAGTATCGAAATATCTGTATTTAAGTTTAACCGCGGTCGAGGTTAATCCGGAGACTTGTATTTGTTTTAAACGCATCCTACAGGCAGCCGAAAGAGAGAGTGCTTATAACCACAATGCTTGGATAAGAAAGAAAAAACACGTCTTATTATGACACCGAAAGAAGACTTGATCAACGTGATTGGTAAGACGAGCCCTGAAGAAAGAAAATGACCGTTGCTGCCAGTGGGAAACTACTTGTTTTGATAAAAAATGAAAGAAAGCTGTGTACCGATTATTTTGGGACAAGGAAATTGAAGGTCGTATGTTTTAGAGATCGTTTTCTAACCGAGGTGAAGAGAAACGTGCCTAAAATTAGAGAGTTTGACGTATTTCCGTTACGGGGGGAAAAAAAGGTACGGGGGTGTATTTCCGATGGTTTGTTTACTCTGTTCTAATCACACCACAATTTAAACCAAAAAGGTATCGATGTTTCCTTTGAAAACGGGGAAACATTGAGGGGTGACCTTCTATGCTTTGGTATTTTAATTATCAGACTTAGCATTGACCAATAAATATTTTCGAAGATACTCAAGAGGAAACAAATTCTGTTATAACAGAGGGGCGAATGTCGCCTAGCTTTAAACTTACCCTAGTGTTCTAAATACAATATTTCACCAGGTCTGTAGGCACAGCTTGCTGAATAAATAGCTTTTTTGGGATGTACACCCTGCAGTTAGAGATGGAAGGAAAATGATACAGAAGGACACACCTCTCAATTTATAGCTATCAATTTGTTAATTTTAGATCGTATTGTTAAGGGAGGTAGACATGAAATGTTCATTCTGAGGTAGTGTTATAATGTTTTTTCCCCATACTTAATTTTTCCGATAAAAGTTTTCCACGATTAAGTTCAGTACCCGCAAGTGATCACTAAAGTATCTGTCGAGATTACGAAAACCACACACAGCTTAAACGAGATAAAATATTTTCAGTTAGTAGTTCCAAACATTCTTGACGTAACAGACTGGGTTGGGGTTAGAATGCCGGTAGGGAATCGAAAAACTGCTGTTTGCTCCCCTTTGGGTGTTAATGTTCTATCTTGTCTAGTTATGTTCTAGAATGTTCGTGCTTGTTATATTTGACTGTAATAGAGCATAACCCAGCGGGGAACCTCTTCAAATTGCCAAAAGAAACCGTTGCTTTCCAAGCAAGCACATACCGCAAAAAAAAAGTGTGCTAGAAGCCCTAGGCTACGCGTTTAGTAATTACAGTCACAGTAAACTGACGGCAAAACCACAGTTCGGTAAAAAAATACTTTGAAATGGGTGCAAAGCACAGATGTAAGTTGCCTGTTTCCAGCTTATCTTCTTTCCAAAAACTAACAGATAAAATCTTTGAAAAATGTTTTCTTTAGGAGTGATCGTGTTAGCGTCACTTCAAATGTTAGCTAACGTGAACAGCCACTGAGGATTTAGAGAATTATTTTCGAAATTAGCGTGAGCGATAGTTTGCTGTTTGATTTGAAAGAAAACAAAAAGACAAAGAGAAAATAAAGAAGAAAGGGAATGAAAAATAGTGGATTTTGTTTAAGTAAGAGCAGTTTTCTTACAAATTATTTTGTGAAAAACTTTGTTAGAGCGCCAAGAAAATGGACTAGTTTTTACCGAATTCGGTGTAATCAGAAGATTTCCTGCAAGACTAATCCGTGTCCTAAAAGTTTATTTCCCGTAAATCTTCTTTGAGTAAGATTTAATGATAACGCTGTTATACAAAGAAGGTTGCTCTTTTAGTTTAAAAATGTAAGACACGAAAAGTGTTTCTTGAGACCCACATACACTTTTCAGCAGTTTAAACTCACGTGTTTTTACATTCAATTAAAGGATTAATACCCAAATAATTCCCTTGATTTTAGCATTTTTCTCCCTATGCTTAAATCTGATGTGGCGTGTTCCTAAAATTTTGCACAAAATTCTTTGAAATTTTATTGATCAGTTTTCTTTGACCCCTCTGGCATGATCACGTGATGTACATACAAAAAAAAGCTTGAATAAACGCTGTGGGTAAAATTTAGGATGAAAACTTGAGTAAATAAGTATTCAAGTTTGAAAAGATTATAAAACTACGGCAGAAAGCACAGATTTACTCCCCTTTTTTTAGCATTTAATGAGCCCTTAATGTCACATTGTCGGCTTAGCCACAAGTATTTTCGAGTGCTGATAGGTAATCATGAAATGAAACAGGTAACATGTTCTGAAAGAAACACGATTTTTTTGACGAAAACCAGATGTTATCCCAAAGCGCACAAAAAGTTCGGCCCATCTTAACGGATCGCCAAAACAGCTTAAATCAGTTTCTTGCCATAGGAATTGACCTCAAAATCCAACAGCACTTCCAGACTAAAAATAGTAAAGTATTACGAAAGGTCAACATATTTCATAGCACCCCTTCGTTAAAAACTTGATTTTCTTAATCCCTCAATGTACCGTTCGTTTATAATCTTATTTGACCAAACGGGTAAATCTAAATATAAAGGCAACTGAAGACAGTTAGGAAAGAAACTGCCAAGCCCGGGCTTTTGTCAACGCACTTTTCATCGCCGTGCTCTCCTTTACCTCGTACTTCGACGCAGATAATTAGGATAGGGGGAGTGGAGGGGGGTTGGGTGACGAACTATTTTATACACCCCACAATAATTTTCATCATATCTGAGGGAATTGTTGAGTGAAGCCAAACAAGTTTGTACTTGTAAACCAACATGATTTGTATTTCTAGAAATATTTTGGGCCAGAAAAATAAGGAAAAACAGAGAACATGCATAGTTGCACGAGATTTGGAAAGAATATCAATGCCTATTACTGTCACAATTTAAAACGAAGCTACTATTTGTCCCAAATGAAGAAGGAAGTCGGAAACTGTCGACAAGAGGTCGATAATCAAGATTCTTTGGCGAGAAAAATAAACATCGTGATCCCATGAATAAAAGTTTTCTATGTAAATATAGAACGTTTACATAGAGAGTACTTAAAGGGTTCGGCGTATTGTTACATATGTGTTTATGTTTACTAGTTCATAAGTCAAGGGAGATTTGCACATCTCAAGTTAAAAAAGCGTCTTTGCTGTGTTGTGAATGTCATCATGTTGCGGTTAAAATAGGTGAAGAACGAACATAGCCTGTACCATTTATTTTGTAAGATGGTCGCAGTCACTGATCAAAAGCGTAGCACACCAGAAAATAACATAGAGACGTCCACAACATTCATTAGGCTTAGGCTGACGATTATTTATTTATTTACCTAACAATTTTTT